CCACACAGAGACCCACAGACTCACCACACAGAGACCCACAGACTCACCACACAGAGACCCACAGACTCACCACACAGAGACCCACAGACTCACCACATAGAGACCCACAGACTCACCACACAGAGACCCACAGACTCACCACACAGAGACCCACAGGCTCACCACAAAGAGACCCACAGACTCACCACACAGAGACCCACAGACTCACCACACAGAGACCCACAGACTCACCACACAGAGACCCACAGACTCACCACACAGAGACCCACAGACTCACCACACAGAGACCCACAGACTCACTACACAGAAACCCACAGACTCACCACAGACTCACCACACAGAGACCCACAGACTCACCACACACAGACCCACAGACTCACCACACAGAGACCCACAGACTCACCACACAGAGACCCACAGACTCACCACACAGAAACCCACAGAGACCCACAGACTCACCACACAGAGACCCACAGACTCACCACACAGAGACCCACAGACTCACCACACAGAGACTCACAGACTCACCACACAGAGACCCACAGACTCACCACACAGAGACTCACAGACTCACCCCACAGAGACCCACAGACTCACCACACAGAGACCCACAGACTCACCACACAGAGACCGATAGACTCACCACACAGAGACCCACAGTCTCACCACAAAGAGACCCACAGACTCACCACACAGAGACCCACAGACTCACCACACAGAGACCCACAGACTCACCACACAGAGACCCACAGACCCACCACACAGAGACCCACAGACTCACCACACAGAGACTCACAGACTCACCACACAGAGACCCACAGACTCACCACACAGAAACCCACAGACTCACCACACAGAGACCCACAGACTCACCACACAGAGACCCACAGACTCACCACACAGAGAACCACAAACTCACCACACAGAGACCCACAGACTCACCACACAGAGACCCACAGACTCACCACACAGAGACCCACAGACTCACCACACAGAGAGCCACAGACTCACCACAGACTCACCACACAGAGACCCACAGAATCACCACACAGAGACCCATAGACTCACCACACAGAGACCCACAGACTCACCACACAGAGACCCACAGACTCACCACACAGAGACCCACAGACTCACCACACAGAGACCCACAGACTCACCACACAGATACCCACAGACTCACCACACAGAGACCCACAGACTCACCACACAGAGACCCACAGACTCACCACATAGAGACCCACAGACTCACCACACAGAGACCCACAGACTCACCACACAGAGACCCACAGGCTCACCACAAAGAGACCCACAGACTCACCACACAGAGACCCACAGACTCACCACACAGAGACCCACAGACTCACCACACAGAGACCCACAGACTCACCACACAGAGACCCACAGACTCACCACACAGAGACCCACAGACTCACTACACAGAAACCCACAGACTCACCACAGACTCACCACACAGAGACCCACAGACTCACCACACACAGACCCACAGACTCACCACACAGAGACCCACAGACTCACCACACAGAGACCCACAGACTCACCACACAGAAACCCACAGAGACCCACAGACTCACCACACAGAGACCCACAGACTCACCACACAGAGACCCACAGACTCACCACACAGAGACTCACAGACTCACCACACAGAGACCCACAGACTCACCACACAGAGACTCACAGACTCACCCCACAGAGACCCACAGACTCACCACACAGAGACCCACAGACTCACCACACAGAGACCCACAGACTCACCACACAGAGACCCACAGTCTCACCACAAAGAGACCCACAGACTCACCACACAGAGACCCATAGACTCACTCACACAGAGACCCACAGACTCACCACACAGAGACCCACAGACCCACCACACAGAGACCCACAGACTCACCACACAGAGACTCACAGACTCACCACACAGAGACCCACAGACTCACCACACAGAGACCCACAGACTCACCACACAGAGACCCACAGACTCACCACACAGAGACCCACAGACTCACCACACAGAGACCCACAAACTCACCACACAGAGACCCACAGACTCACCACAAAGAGACCCACAGACTCACCACACAGAGACCCACAGACTCACCACACAGAGACCCACAGACTCACCACACAGAGACCCACAGACTCACCACACAGAGAACCACAAACTCACCACACAGAGACCCACAGACTCACCACACAGAGACCCACAGACTCACCACACAGAGACCCACAGACTCACCACACAGAGAGCCACAGACTCACCACAGACTCACCACACAGAGACCCACAGACTCACCACACAGAGATCCACAGACTCACCACACAGAGACCCACAGACTCACTACACAGAGACCCACAGGCTCACCACACAGAGACCTACTGACTCACCACACGGAGACCCACAGACTCACCACACAGAGACCCACAGACTCACTACACAGAGACCCACAGACTCACCACACAGAGACCCACAGACTCACCACACATAGACCCACAGACTCACCACACAGAGACCCACAGACTCACCACACAGAGACCCACAAACTCACCACACAGAGACCCACAGCCTCACCACACAGAGACCCACAGACTCACCACACAGAGACCCACAGACTCACCACACAGAGACCCACAGACTCACCACACAGAGACCCACAGACTCACCACAGACTCACCACACAGAGACCCACAGACTCACCACACAGAGACCCACAGACTCACCACACAGGCACCCACAGACTCACCACACAGAGACCCACAGACTCACCACACAGGCACCCACAGACTCACCACACAGAGACCCACAGACTCACCACACAGAGACCCACAGACTCACCACACAGAGACCCACAGACTCACCACACAGAGACCCACAGACTCACCACACAGAGACCCACAGACTCACCACAGACTCACCACACAGAGACCCACAGACTCACCACACAGAGACCCATAGACTCACCACACAGAGACCCACAGACTCACCACACAGAGACCCACAGACTCACCACACAGAGACCCACAGACTCACCACACAGAGACCCACAGACTCACCACACAGAGACCCACAGACTCACCACACAGAGACCCACAGACTCACCACACAGAGACCCACAGACTCACCACAGACTCACCACACAGAGACCCACAGACTCACCACACAGAGACCCACAGACTCACCACACAGAGACCCACAGTCTCACCACACAGAGACCCACAGACTCACCACACAGAGACCCACAGACTCACCACACAGAGACCCACAGACTCACCACGCAGAGACCCACAGACTCACCACACAGAGACCCACAGACTCACCACACAGAGTCCCACAGACTCAACACACATAGACCCACAGACTCACCACACAGAGACCCACAGACTCACCACACAGAGACCCACAGACTCACCACAGACTCACCACACAGAGACCCACAGACTCACCACACAGAGACCCATAGACTCACCACACAGAGACCCACAGACTCACCACACAGAGACCCACAGACTCACCACACAGAGACCCACAGACTCACCACACAGAGACCCACAGACTCACCACACAGAGACCCACAGACTCACCACACAGAGACCCACAGACTCACCACATAGAGACCCACAGACTCACCACACAGAGACCCACAGACTCACCACACAGAGACCCACAGTCTCACCACAAAGAGACCCACAGACTCACCACACAGAGACCCACAGACTCACCACACAGAGACCCACAGACTCACCACACAGAGACCCACAGACTCACCACACAGAGACCCACAGACTCACCACACAGAGACCCACAGACTCACCACACAGAGACCCATAGACTCACCACACAGAGACCCACAGACTCACCACACAGAGACCCACAGACTCACCACACAGAGACTCACAGACTCACCACCCAGAGACCCACAGACTCACCACACAGAGACTCACAGACTCACCCCACAGAGACCCACAGACTCACCACACAGAGACCCACAGACTCACCACACAGAGACCCACAGACTCACCACACAGAGACCCACAGTCTCACCACAAAGAGACCCACAGACTCACCACACAGAGACCCATAGACTCACTCACACAGAGACCCACAGACTCACCACACAGAGACCCACAGACCCACCACACAGAGACCCACAGACTCACCACACAGAGACTCACAGACTCACCACACAGAGACCCACAGACTCACCACACAGAGACCCACAGACTCACCACACAGAGACCCACAGACTCACCACACAGAGACCCACAGACTCACCACACAGAGAACCACAAACTCACCACACAGAGACCCACAGACTCACCACACAGAGACCCACAGACTCACCACACAGAGACCCACAGACTCACCACACAGAGAGCCACAGACTCACCACAGACTCACCACACAGAGACCCACAGACTCACCACACAGAGATCCACAGACTCACCACACAGAGACCCACAGACTCACTACACAGAGACCCACAGGCTCACCACACAGAGACCTACAGACTCACCACACGGAGACCCACAGACTCACCACACAGAGACCCACAGACTCACTACACAGAGACCCACAGACTCACCACACAGAGACCCACAGACTCACCACACAGAGACCCACAGACTCACCACACAGAGACCCACAGACTCACCACACAGAGACCCACAAACTCACCACACAGAGACCCACAGCCTCACCACACAGAGACCCACAGACTCACCACACAGAGACCCACAGACTCACCACACAGAGACCCACAGACTCACCACACAGAGACCCACAGACTCACCACAGACTCACCACACAGAGACCCACAGACTCACCACACAGAGACCCACAGACTCACCACACAGAGACCCACAGACTCACCACACAGACACCCACAGACTCACCACACAGAGACCCACAGACTCACCACAGCCCTTGCCCCTGCAGTGTGTTAGAGGCTACACGGGGGACCTTTGTCTTTGTGCAG